AGGCAAACTTTTCTTCCTAAATACTACTTATAAATTTATTATTAAATTATAAATGTTTCAGAAGACCAAATTTACTTCTGAAGATTGGGATCTGAGTTACTGACGCTCGAAATAGACAAATATGAAATTCACGTTAATGTATATCTCTAACATATGTTACATTTTTAAACAACGAGAAATAGCGAATTAACATTAAGCAGCTATCAATTAAAATTTATGTAGAAGTTCTGTGTATAGAAACTCTCTAATAAACATTTAATCCTGTTTTACATATGAGAATAAAATGAACAAATTGTTTTGCCATTTGTTCTTTTTCAAAAACATTCCGAGGTTTGCCGTTTTAAGCATCGTACTCGAAATGAGTTTTCAAGTAGTTTTTACCTCGGTATTTATCTGTGGTGAAGTGCAGCAAGGATAATGAGACTGCTTCAAAGCAAAGCATCTGCCGTTATCTTCCGCAAAGACGGACAGAAAAAGGCGTGGATTCACTCAGCTAATCGTACAAGGTTTCAAAGGAAGAAGCTTCTTCTCTCCTATCCTCGTATTTACGTGAAACAACCAGCCAAACGTTCTCCTATCTGCATCTTACCAGATCAAATGAAAGTGCATTCTTTGACATTAAATTTTCGCAATTTATTATTACATGTCAGACATTATTACTAACGTATAAAAACGCGTAACAAGTTTTTACCCGAAATATTGTGTTGAAGTATTTGATTAATTTCATCCGTTGATTTAGTATCTCAATTTTACTGCTCATTGTTGCGGATGGTTTGAGTTAATTGTAAAATAAAATAACAAAGTATTTGGTACATCTTCGTTTAATCTTTATTTAATATTATTAATTTTAATTTCGTTTTAAACTTTTGGACATGTCTTAAAATATGCATAAAACTTTAAAGTTGGATTTATTTTCTACTCGCTGCGTGGGCGGTTTCGTGGTTTTCCCCATGTGTAACGAGTATGCGAGCCAGTTTCCCTAATAAAGTCCTCCACGAAGGCATCCTTCCCCTTAGGCACATAGCCCTAGTGTGCTTTGCCGTAATCTCAATATACAATACAATACATTATTTTCTACTCTTCACTTCTCTCATTCTCATTTCCATGCTATTTATATCATAGACAATTTTGTGCTCTCGTGTATGCGAACTGTTGAAGGATCGAAGTCAAGAAACAAGTTTCTAATCTTCTTAGAAATAGAAATATATATCGCAGATTAAAAAAAGGGCAATAAAATGCAGGATCACCTACTGTCTTAACATCAGTACTCAAACGACACAAGAGAAGTTCTAAATTCGCTTACTGAACTACAGTCTTTAAAATTCAATTTTGAAATCAAAGCTGAACTGACTAAAATTACGGGTATCACCGGCTGTCTCTTAAATTTTCCATATGTTGGGGTGGGGTAGGAAAGAGGGATAATTAGAAAGTTCTGGAAAAACTACTTCTAAGTAATTGTGTGTTCCCGATACATTATATCTTGAACATTCCACAATGTTCCTAAATTTGACGAAAAATCCAAAATCCCTAGCTTGCCGATGAAACGTTTTGCCCGGGCCTATTAGATTTTAATAGTGAATATCTCAGATTTCACGTGTGTTCTTGACAGATTGCGACGGGTTTTTGCACAGAACCGCAATCTTATGAAATGGCCCTAAAAATATAATAATTATATTCAAATTTAAAACAATCCAGCTTCACAGAAATAAACAGAAAATTAAGCAAAATACAGGACTAAAGAAATAAGAAATAATGCCGATTGAAAATAAATGCGCATTGTTTTATACCAAATACAGATGTTATAATAAATACAATGTGTTCTTTTCTAACCTACAGGGGTGTATACGAGCCAGTTTCCCTTAGAAAGTCCTCCACGAAAGGCATCCCTCCCCTTAGGCAGATAGCCCTAGTGTGCTTTGCCATAATTAAATACACCAAATACACCATCTAACCTACAGGGCTATCAAATCTTGAGGTATAACTTATCTTTAACTAGATTATTTCCCATTGTATTCGTTTTCAAATAGGAACCAAAGCAATCTCATACACAATGTCAAAATTCATTGATAAAAGTGTCATTACTAAATATCTCAGCGGTAATGTACTGGGTTAAATGTTTTTCCGTATTCTTTGCCTTGCTAGCTTGCTGTTGTTACGATTGCGGGTTGTTCAGGAGTATAAATATAAATCAAAATTTTTACATTTGGGACGACTGAATAAAAAAATGTTAGATGGATTTTTAGAACTAATAAGTCTCTGAACTACAGAATGAAAAACCTTTTCATATATCAAAGGGTCCAATTTTATTACTAATTCAAAATAATTGGACATTTTTACTAGGCAGAAAGATAATTAGATTAATTTAAGAACTATTTTTATCTCCAGGAGGTTGGTTATCTCAAATTTATGATAGTGATTAGAAGTACTAAACTAAGTTTCATTCCCGCATTTAATACTGCAATTTATTAATTGAAAACGTGTTTACTATTCGACTTACAAATGAGACTTACATCACGTATTTTAATCATAATAATGTCAAATACAAGCTGAAGAACACAAATAAATCCAAATTAAGAATGGAACTTTGGTATAGTTTTGAGTCTCATGAATCTTAAGAAAATCTCGACGAATTTTCAGTCGGTATTAAAATATTTCGAATCAGAAATTAGAAACAGGTTTGAATCAAAATATACAAAAGGCGAATTTTTTATATTCTATAGAAAAATTTATTAAACAATCTGATGTGTACACCAATTGACTTCCTTGCATGGAATATTAAATGATACGCATTTTTCCCTGTATTTCATTTAAACTTATTGAATTTAATTAAATGTACTTCATCGATAGCGCGTAAACCACAACAGAATGGATGCTCTTTTCAAAATTCACTATATTTATTTACTACAGCGATACTCTGGCGCTAGGTTCACTTAACAGCGTTACATCTTATAACACAGAATGGACAAAAATTATATCATCTGAAGAATAACCTAATATTTGACACATGTTCTATTCAAATACTATAATAAATCTAAAGTAATGTATAAAATAAATTTAAAAAATGAAAAATAAACAATTTTTCACAGACCATTCAGCGCTGCTTACCTAATGCGCATGTGCTACTCGTAAGCATTCTCCTCTGTCCCAAACAGACTGGCTACAGTATGTTCTGCTAATATGAAACACTTATTTCCTCGAATTTCATTAGAGATGTATTTGTGATTCAATTAATTCAGTTCACACTTCGCGGTATGGCAAAAATAATAAAAACACAAAGTACCTTCTTTTAAAATTTAAAGATATAGAAAAACATAAAACACTTAATACAGTTAAAATTAAAAAAAAAAAAAAAAAAAAAAAAAAAAAAAAAAATGTTTACATTAAGATTACAGTTTCTATCCAAAAACAAGTCATTCGGCTAGGGGCAAGAAGAAGACAGATTTTTCGGTGCACAAAACTGAAAGTTTACTTTTTATCTTACTCAGCAAAAAGACACTGAAGGTTTAGAAACTGACTTAATTTGTTGTGGACGCTATGCTGAGTCAATATATGGGATAATTTAATCACTTAAATGATAGTTCCAGAATGGATTAAGCATCATTTAATTCGCAATAATAAAAGAAGACATTACTTTGTTGTTGCGAAGCTTAGTTTCTCTAGATTGGCAACAAATCCACTCTTGTGCTAAGTTTCAAATGTAAACAAAGGCGGCTTCTATGGAAAAAAAATTAGGATTAGTTGCACTTAGACAACTCTTAAATTGTTGAAATTCTACAACTATAGCATGCAGGTTAGCAAAGCGCATGAAAACCTTAACCGGAAGATAAGAATAACATAATTCAATTGTTTTCAAAGCAAAAAATGCAAAATTTACAAACATATAAGAATAAAGAAACTGAGCCGAGAAACAGAGTGAATGGCTATATATGCATATGTTTATATATCTTTGGTGCGGCCGATTGCAATAAAATAGGAGGTGCACATCTATATGTTATAGCAGTTCTATATACAAAATTTCAACTTTCTGAGGCTACTCGTTTTTGAGTTATGCGAGATACACGTATACATACGTACATACACATACATACATACACACATACACGAACAAAAAAAATGACGCCACGAAAAAAATCTGTTTTGAATCTAAATCAGTTTTATAATTCGTTTTTTGGGGAAAAAGTCCTTTATTCTGTCCTAACGCACAGATGTCACGCAAAAACACTGTTAAATTGCATTCGATAGCCGTCGAAATAGTAGTCGGATAGTTTTGTTGAACTAGGATACTCGAAAATTTTCGCGATTGCAATACTTCCTTTTTACTTTGTACAAGGAAGTAAAAAAGAACACGAATTCCCCGTTTCATGTATAGAATTCAACGCTTTCCTGTTTAATGTTGACATATATTAACTTTTGAAATTATCTTTAATTTTGGAAAATTGAATAAAATATTGAACAATAACTTACATATATTTTGTCCAATTCTAAAAGTGAACCCCAGGATTAAAAAATTTTAATTATATACTTCTTTTACTTGAGTTTATTATCATTGTAAATATAGGTGAAATTAAAAAAACTGCAGTATCAAATTCATATTTCATTGACTTCAAATTTTTATTTATTAGATTTTTAAGATTAATTAAATTTATTCTTCGTTTCTTTTTTATTGTTCTCGTTTGTAGCATTCTTAAGAATTAAGGTTGTGAGGTTCGACTTGAAAGCATTTTAAGAGTCAGACTGGCTTCGAAAAATTATTATATTGCTTATTTTTACGGAGTGAATCTAAATTAAAATAAGGTATTCTAAAACTTACTTTTGAATTTGCTTGCTGTAATCAATATTTTAAGGTAAATGTGGATTTAAAATTGCATATTTACTGTATAATTTTTATTTTAAAACATAATAAAATATCACAGCATTTTTCTTTTCATCTGATGTAATTCTAATGCAGTTTGTTGCATTTTGGAAAGTTTTGATTGAGATTTTCTTCTTTGTTCTTGCAGATCCATTAGGCTTTCGAAGCACGAATTGTGAAAAAATGTGCAGTGCTGTTGTAGAGTCATTACGAGACATGTACCTGGACCTTCCGAATATGCGCTGATTGTGTTACAGTTACGCCATGAAGGCATGCTGGAAAGTAGAAAATACCTTATACACTCTCTCTTTTAAAGGACGACTGGGGCACTAGATGACCCTATCGCGAAATCCTGATGGTGACAAATTATTGTCCACCGTCTTTTAGTTCAAGCCATTTCTTATCGTTATTCTGAAGAAGGAGGTGTGAAAAACGTGCAATGCCGAAACTCGAACCTGGACCTCTCGAATACGCGCCGAATGTTCTACCGTTACACTGCGAAGGCGTGCTCGAAAGAAGGAGAAAATGCCTTATATCTTTTCGATTATAATTTGGAAATTTTAGATTACCGAGGTTTCGAGATTTTATGATATTGACGGAATTTTTAATTGCAATGTTGAAAATTTTCCAAAGGCTTTAATAGCAGGTTAAATTACTAAACCAATTTTAAGCATTGCTTCTGTTGTGATCGAAAACCAGTCTGCAAAATAAAACAAACACCAATTTCAAGGAGACACTGGATCCTTTTTTGTAATTCCAAAAAAAACTAATATATAAATAACACTCTTTAACAGGTTAAAGTTTCAAACCTTTCTTATCACATGCATTTATATGGCCTACGAAAGCGTTTGGCATTATCAATGGTCATCGTTTTAAACTCTTCTTAACATTTTTTGAACGTTTCCGATTTTTTTCGTTCATATACAGAATCCAACCTGTATAAAAGCATTTCCGTCTTACACGTATAATAAAAATAATAACCTAAACAAACTAAAAGTAATTCTTTATTTAGGACTTTATCTCTCTAGATCTGATACCGACTTCATAAATCTGTGTTATACGAAGCAGGCTTGACGATTCTGTTAATAAGAAGACTTTGAGCGACAGTTTCAGGTCTAACAGATTCATGATGTTGTTTAGTATTTTTAGTTTGCTTTAGACGAACAATATGACGTTCTGCAATTCTTTTGTGATAAAGTGTAAAGGTTATTATTTTTTCTATAGATTTAGTCTTACCTTTATTAGTTATGCATTAATTCACCTATCACAGGCTCGGTATTTTATGGTGCTGCAACACTATGTGAAAAATGCTTAGCTACAAGTCTAGACTTTATTAATAGTCTATACAATACAAGTCTAGACTTTATCAATAATTGATAAAACTTATACATTAGAATTCTCCCATTTCCACTTTACAAAAGTTGACATTAAAAATATTTTTAGAACAATAATAATAATGCTATGGTTTAGTTTGATTATTTTAAATAAATAAATAATTAATAAATCTCTAATTTATTATGCTTTCTGATATTATTCATCGCCGTCTGATAATTGTTTTGAATTATAATAATATAATAGTAAGATATGGAATGTTGGAAGACGATGAGCAGGTCATAGATTCTAAAAGATAAACTTAGATGAGCCCTAAAATTACAAGACCTTAAGTTACACGAAAACACAGTTACACATTTTTTCCAAATGCCTGTTAAATTTAGACATTTTACAAAAGGAGTAAGGCAGAGCAGACGATAAAAAATCAATTGAAGTAAGCAGAAAGTAGATTTGGAACTATTTAGAACAATTACTGCATGAATCGTGGATACACATTGTCATTTATGTGCTGCATTTTTAATAATTTAAATGATTGAAAAACTGCAACACATTTATTAGAAGAATACTGAACTTTATACAGCAAACTGAAGAGATGTGCTTATTAAATTAAAAAATAAACATAATGTTAATAAATGCAGCATCAAAAGCTATCTCATTTAATGGTGATTACTTTAAAAAATGCCCCACAGTGGTCAAGTGGTAAAGGCGCTGAGTACTTAGTAGTTTCATTTGGGTTCGATTTTAGGTAAACGGTGCTCTCTGCGTGGATGCGTACATTTTTGATTTTCCTAAGTGTAACATAAATACGAGTTAGTTTTTCTTAGAAAGTCTTGCAAGAAGGCACCCCTCGAGAGCTTTGCCGTAATCTAATAAACTATAAACCAAACAAAACTTCCGAAAGTGTGTTCACAAAACGACTAGATATTTTGTGGAAAATATTCATTGAACCACATACCATACATAGAATACAAAATTTTATTCATGAATCTTAAATAATAGTGATAGTTGAATAATTCGAAAAAATAACAAAGCAGGTGCAAAATTTATATAACAAAACTTTAAAACGTCACCTTGAATGTGGCATACAGCAACACAGTGAAGAATTTTTAACTGATTTGAACTATAATTACTTCCTTGTACGAAATAAAAAGGAAATATTGTAATCGCGAAAAGTTTCAGACAGCATATTTCAACGAAAATATCCATTTTGACCGCTTTCGAATGCAAGAGAATTTTTCGTGGCGTGGCGTTGTAAAACGTATGTACGTACATACGTATCTCGTATAATTCGACATACGTATCTCGTATAAACGAGTAGCCTCAGAACGTTTGAAATTTGTATATAGGACTACTATAACATGTAGATGTGTACCTCATATTTTGGTTGCAATCGGACGCGCCAAACGTATGTAAATATATATATATATATATATATATATATCCACTGTGTTACCGACTCAGTGATCTCAGTTTCTTACTCTTATATGTTTGGAAATTGCACATTTTTGCTTTAAAAATGATTGAATTATGTTGTTCTTATTTTCCGGTTGAGGTTTTTATGCCTTTAGTAAGTACCTGCATGAAATAACTGTGGAATTATCGACATTCTGAAAGTTCTTGAAGTGTCGGCTAAGCTTAATTTTATTATTACGCTGGCGGCCATTACTTGTTTACATTTGAAACTTAGCACAAGAGTGGATTTGCTGCCAAGTCTAGAGAAGACTAAGCTTCGCCAACAACAAAGCATAGCGTCTTCCTTTTATTATTGCGAATTAAAATCATGCTTAATCCTTTCTGGAATTTTTTAGAGGAAATAAGTGTTTAAGATTTACTTCGTAATTTTTAATACAGATAGTTTGAGTTTTTATGAATTTTTGCCTTGTCGCGAAGTGAATTAATTGAATGAGAAATACTCAATCGTCTGTAAAAAACTGTTTCTTTTTTGTTTTGTTTTCTTAATTTCTTTTATACATCGTTCTAGCTTTATTATAGTATTTGAATAGAACATGTGGCAACGATTAGATAATTCTTTAAATGTTATAAACTTAGGGCATTCTGAGTTATAATATGAACGAAATATAATACTGTTAAGTGAATCTAGCGCCAGAGTGTCGCTATGGTAAAAAAATAGAGTGAAGTTTAAAGAATGCATTTATTCTATTGTGGTTTATGCGCTGTAGGTGAAGTAGGTTTTAATTGAATGCAATAAGTTTAAGTGAAATGCGAGAAAAAATGCGTATAATTTAATACTCCGTACAAGGAAGTCATGTGGTGTACACATCAGATTTTGTTTTTGTAACTAACAAGACAAAGTTACGGGAATAGCAAATAGAGAATTTAATAAAAATAGCTTTAATTTATTAGTTTCTCAATTTGTGGAAAATGATAGAGACATAATGAGGAAGATAATAATTGCTAATTTTTAGCGGAATAAAAAAAAATCAGCTTTTCTGTTTTGGACTAAGTTTTTGGCTTGTACTTATTTAATATACATGTTAGCTGTAATGCATGAAATCATAAATAGCATAAAAGATCTAGTCAGTATTAATAATGCCGAAAATTTGGCGTCAAAATATGAAGTGATTAATATTTTGCATATTTCCTAGACATCTGGTTGCAATTGCATGCAATGCCAAAAAAAAAAAAAAAAAAAAAAAAAAAAAAACTGCCAAAGCAGTAAAATGCTGCCACTAATGATGTATATTAGCCAGAGATTTCGCAATTTGCGATTCAGTCGGCTAGTTTGGTTAGATGATTTGAATATGGCAATGGCATGGAGACTATTTGCTTAAGAAGAGTGATGTATTTTTGGAGGACTTTCTGAGGAAAACGAGCTCAAATTTACGTTACACTTAACAGTTCAGTCAGAAGTGATGAAGTACACTACTTTGAATTCCTTGAGCAAAACACCACACTGCGTCTTAAGAAAACATAAGAGCAAAAGCTAGTACCCGACAAGAAGTCAAAATAGTTTTTAACATGAAAATACGATTCTATGAACTGTTTTTAAATTGAAAGCCGAACGCGCAAAAAAAGTCTCTCTTTCTCTTTTTTCCCTTACACTTACAAGAAATTAGTAAGAGCACAAAATGACTACTGAGAAAGAAGCAAGGGACGACTGACATTTAAATCATTATGGTGTGATGTAGTGAAAACAAAAGAGAACTCACTTATATAGTTAAAGATGGCGTTGATGTTATCAAATTCTGTATGACTTCTATTCATTAAAAGACTTTATATGATTTCTTTTTAATACTTATGTCTAAATAGCATTTGGAATTCTATATAACATTAATTACATACAATACCATACTATTACATACAATACCTAATAAAAGTATGCATAATTTTAAGATAAAAAACTTAAAATGTTGCTTCTGTGTATATGTGTAAAATTAACCTATTACAAAAATGTCTGTTTGTTTTATTTATATGTATTACAAGGCATTTTCTCCCATATGTCTTCGTAATGTAACTACTGGAAGCAGATTCGACGCTTATCCAGCGTTTGAATCTCGGAAAGGGCATTGCTCATTTTTCACATCTCCAGCATCAGAAAACTTAATGGCTCTACAGTGTCAGTGAAAACGAATTTAATTTATTTAAAATAACATGGGTTTTAATTACAGCTGCGTTTTATCCCCATCATGCATCAATTTGCTTATTCTGTAGTAAGATTGTCAGAACTGTATTTAAGAGTTCTGGACATTTTTGTCAGGCTTTTCTAAAATTCGACATATTTTATTGTTGGATTATATTCGACATAGTTTGTTTTTGGATTTTATTCGACAAACTTTATTTTTAATTTATTTTTGGATGATATTTGAAGTCCGCTGTAAGGCTTTGGGTGAACACGTTCCCTCAAGTATAAATCATTGTAATCAATGACTGATGACCAGTAACAGATAGGACAATACAGGCTGTAGTGGCTCCGTGTTAGCAGAGGATTTCTTTAGCTAGCGTTCAGTATTCAACCTTAGTATGTCTGCTTTTGTAGGTTTTTCTGAGAGTCAACATGCTCGCATTCTATCTGATAAATAATGTCCTGCGTTCTTTACAATAGATTTGATGCCATCGGATTCGCCAATGCGTAGCCATATAAGTTCAACATTTGGGATACCAAGAAATATACTGTGGTTCAGAATATATCTTTATCTCTAATACTTCAAATTTTTTAATTGTTCTGCAGAGAGTATGATGCTTATTTGTTATGGAATAATTCGCTATATTCTTGGAGTTCATTTTTCTGTAGTTCTACGTTCCCAAAGTGGATGTATTAAATGGTAAGCTGTATTGGGCACTTCGATGTGCAGTATAACAATATTTATGTACTGTTACATAAGTACCGTATGTAAGATAACATAAATATGTAAAAATGCATAAATTTACGGTGGTGTATGGT